TCCAAAGTTGGTGTTCTTCGTTATATGAAAGTCAAATATTTGCAAGATTCACTTATCTGCCTGGAGCGATGTTTTTTCGGCTTGCCGATTCTGTGCACCTGTTGTAAATAAAGTCAGTTTTATATTTGCAGTTGATAACTGATGCGCTGTCAAGAAAGAACGTGTTAAAATATCAGTGCCTGACACAGGTGTATGCGCTTAACGCTATACTCTTCTTGTTTGTTTGTTTCTTTTTGTTTTATTATTATTATTATTATTATTATTATTAATATGATGGATAATAGCAACTATGGGTAAATAGGACAGACTGAGCTCTTCAACATTGGGTGGCAATCAGTCTAGGATAAAAGAGATTATGAATTCAAAATCTCCTACTATGGATAAATAGTAGAGAATATTGTTCTCTTCAGCCTTGGTTGGCAACCAGTCTATGAGAAAGTCATCTCTGAATTCAAAAACCGTATGTAGGCCTAGCAAAGCCTACGCAGCTAATGAAAGGATCGTGCTATAATCGCTATTGCCTGGTTTGTTTGTTTTCTTTTCCATAATATGCATACACTTTATATCATATTTGTGATTCGTTGCACTTTCTCGGACTAACGTTTTCCGCGGACATGAAGTGGGATGCTTATATTAAATCAACTGCTTGATCTGTTGCTAGGAATGTTGGTTCAATGTGTCATGCTAGACACTTTTTCTCGCCTGAATCTATCTTGCATATTTATGAATTGACCATTCGTCCACACCTCGGATATTTTACTGATATCAGGTCTGGTGCTTCCGCGAGGAATTTAGAGATTCTTGATAAAATACAAAGAAAAATATTATTGGTCCTGACCTGGAATGTCGGCTTCAGTCACTTTCTCAACGCCCGAATGTTGTTACAAGTGCTATCCATTTTAGTTGTCGCTAGTGTTCAAAGTCCTCAAGTGACGTAGTTTCCATTATTTGATACAGTTCTTCTGTAGCGCCAGCCCACGTAGATCGAACAAGTTTTGTCCTCTTCAAAACCTACAGAGTTCATTCGCTTGAAGCTATTTTTGATCATAGATCTGAAAACGCATTTGAAAACAACTAACATTTTAAATATTTCTGAAAAAGTTTTGGCACCATGCATGACATCAGCATAAAAGTTGATGAGATCTGGTTGGGCGCCATGAGTGACTTCCATCCGAAAGTCTCGATCCGAGGTGGCTATTTAAGAACATGACTCGAGTGTTCATTTTAATGTTTCGGTTTCATAGAAACTTAGGATACTGGGTGAAAATATCCATAGCGCAGGCTATTCGACGTTCAGTTTATCTCCATTTTTTAATCGTTTCATCCCAGGCAAGGCAATAAAACCACTAAGAATCAAGGGGTTACTGAGTGTGAAAGAATAAGAAAAACATTATTAAGGAAAGAGAATAATAAAAGAAGAGGGAACGAGAAAATAGTAGATAACAATAAACATTGCATTTAAATCTTTTAAGATCAATGTTGAATAGAAAGTAAGAAGCCGAAAAAGAGTTCCACAAGCAAGAAGTGTGAGTAAAGAAGCTTTTAACATAGAACTTACAATCCAATTCAACTGTAAAATGATGAGAACTTGTTGACAATTGTTATAGTGGAACACACCTATTCTATTGTTAACAGACTCTCCCACCTATAATAAGTAGGAGTAGTAGCAGTCGCTGAGTCGCTGAGTGAGTCGCTCAGTCAGTCGATGTCGGACGACCGTTAGTCGGATACTAAAGTATCAGCCACCACAACTAGATTACTGCGTCATTACCTATTATATCAAGTTCCTAACGTTTTGTACGTCGAACCTATTTTAGGACCGACTTAGTACAAATACAAGCCTCCACTGTGAAACCACTACACAACAATCTAGGACTGTGTTTAAATTCATCTAGATTTCATCTAGAGAAAAGTTCATCAGGACATTTACCTTGAAATATTTATAGGAAAGGCACAGGGAAACAACGTTATTTTTTTAAGCGTTTCACCCCAAGCAAGGCGGGAAGCCATTAGCACGCAAGGGGTTAGAAGGGGTTACAGAGAGTTGGAGCGAGAGCAAAGAGGAGTGATATAGGAAAGGATGAAGAGAAGGATAGGGGATAGATCAAGGCATCTGGAGACGTCGATTGACATTACATTTGAATAGTCGGAGATTATAGCTATCAGTAAAACAGGAAAAGGGGCGGGGGAGTTCCACAGGCGAGAAGTGCGAGACATGAAACTATTGGAGTAGAAGAGACAGCTACATTTAATAGTTTCGACAGTGAAAGGGTGAGAACGAGATGTCAGCCTAGTAGAACGCTTAAATTCATGAAGTCTGGGAACCAACGAAAGCAGCTCATCGGGGCAGTTACCATGAAAGTATTTGTCAAAAAAAGACAGAGGTAGGCGGCGGAAAGTGACTGAAGCCGAGATTTCAGGTCAGGACAAATAAAAATACAGATTTTTTTCCTTTGAACTCTATCAAGAATCTCTAAATACATAACAAGAGCACTAAGCATATAACAAGAATCTCTAAATATATAACAAGAGCATTCTGTGAAGAATCTCTAAATATATAACAAGAGCACCAGTCAGCAACATTCAAATAAAGGATGTATGGTAGACTTATAAATAGATAAGATAGATTCCGGAGAGAAAAATTGTCTAGCATGACACGAAACTTTCCTATAAGCAGACCTAGCAACTAATTCAATATAATTTCTACTTCATGTCAGTCCGGGAAGACACAACGAATCACTCTCCTGGAGGTTAGCATCAATCATCCCGATGGAAGGCAGGAAGGTGCCTCTCAGATGATTAATAGAAAGCAGCTTTGTTTTGGAAGTTTCAAAATTGACAAGCCATTCCTTGCCCCATTTAACAACAGGATATTTTTTTAAATCAGCTGCTAATTTGACCTTAGACTTAATATTAAAACAGGAATAAATAGTTGTGTCATCAGCATAGATATCGAATTGAGAGCTAAAGACATCTGGAAGGTCATTGACGAAACTTTGGAATAACGTAGGTCCAAGTATATATATACTAAATTGGTTATAACTTATCCATACACAATATGAAGTGTTAAGTGTTTACTAATTCCACATCCTGAATGTTTATGATGGATTAAAGTTTGTGCTTCGCCGAAGAACCATGTTTACACCGATAAATGTATGCGAACAGTAAAACATTTTACACAGACATTTTTTTTTAATACATATGGGTATGATTTTGCCACTGAACTCCAGATCTTATGTATGGAAGAGATTTCAGAAAGATCTTTGACCATTGAATCGTTTAAAAATTGATAAAATTCATCATGAAAATTGTCTGGAAGACATCCGGTATAAAAGCCCACGGGCTACCCCCAGCCCACAGGCTACTCCCCGCCCCCCAGCCTAGAATATCCATGTGGTTATTATAGTTTAGTTTGATTTATACGCAGCTTATAAGGTAGGGTGTGGATTTTCTTGTCTAGCTCATTTTATACCCAGGTGTATAAATTAAATTCGCCTAAGACGGAATAGTAAAATTTATATTATTGTAAAGGCGGGAAGGGAATAAATCATGAAGTGTCAAATGCCCTCAAAGATTTCTCATCTGCATTCTGCCGTCTTCAATTTCTCAACTCTTGGTTTACACATTAATAGGCGTAACCTCTGGTTGCCTATTGTTGATTGCTTGCTTCACTTTGTACGGCTTATCAACGCTTTGCATTACAGATTATTTACAGAAAATATATTTAGATCGTAAGATTTGTTTATATATATATATATATATATATATATATATATATATATATAATTGTTTATTGACACTAATTAACCCATAGCGGAGGGAGTAAAGATGGATTCATACTGTTGTAACATACCTACAAACGATAATGGGTATGTCCTCATTCACATAATTACAGTAGTAAATACTGTATGTTGTTCTGTTGTCGGAGATTCGTCTCCAGCTGTGCTGGTCAAACTCTCTGCCAACTCTCTGTCTGAGGATCCTCTCAGCAGAAAGGATCCTCAGACAAGGCTATATCGAAGGGCAGTGTCTCGTCTCGAGAAACAGCTACACGACCCCGTTTTATACGGGGTCTACAGGGAACCTTAGGCTCGGATACCCCACATTAAATTCGTCCTTGTGCGATATCTGACTGCGTTGGATGGTTGGTAGATATCCTGCAGTTGGAAATTCATTGTGGAATTCACTTGACTCACTTCTAAATGAATACAATATGGGAAACAGTAATAAGGAGTTCCAGAGAAAAGCAGTAATAACAACAAAAATTGCAATATAAGCTCTGGTAAAAAGCATGCAATGATAACAGCAAAAATTGCAATATGAGCACTGGTAAAAAAATGACTGCTGAAGACATTAGGTTTATAATACCCAGAAATTCATACACAGATGGCACATGGCACAGTGGATAAAGACGTTAGTTAGATCCAGTGACAGGACCCAAAGAGTGTGAGTTCAATACCTGGTAGTGGAGAACTTTCAGAGGGGAATTAACAGGTGATAAGTGACATCCACTCCAAGGCACATGGAACTAGAATAGTCTACTCCAGTGAGCGAAATAAAGGGTTCAGTTCGACATTCCAACCACCCGAAGAAGGCTGGAGCGTACAACGGCCGAAACGTTGTGATGAACATGGCGACGAAGGTGATAGTCCGAATAAAGTAAATAGTGTCACTTCTAACCATTGTGGGGGGAATCTTATAGGTGCTGTTCTTGTCCTAAGTATCATCATTCATTACGTTTGATTATTCTATTCAGTAACCTTCACAAGGTTGCAACACATACCTTTCCCAAGGGTATTTGCGCGTAAATGAATATAACAAACCCAATTGGAATTCGGCTCTAAGATATTATCCATTACACCACTCGCACATCCAAGCATACAGCACCTGGTGTTGTATAGTCTTCTTTGGGAGGGGGTGTTTTGGTTTTATCTCGTCTGGCCGGTGATCGCTAGTCATTTTACTTCATGTCCTATTCTTCTCTTGGTCGATGTTGCGAAATGTTCTTTGGCTTCCGAGACGAAAAGCATCAACGTAGGGGTTCTACCCGCCCCCTCCGCCACCATCACTATTTGAGAACCGCTTCCAAACACGAAAATCTCACACGACCATTTTCTTTGACCCTTCCCTACTGGGGGGTGGATTTTGTCTACCATCTGACCCGAGCAGCAACTCAAAGTTCAATCATTCCCCAGTTCTGAGCCAAAATCAAAATCCCTATGCCCTGCCACTAAAAAATAGTAGCCTGGAACTATTTTTAAACACCTGGCTTTCCCAAGCGATCGTTCTTCTAGGTAATGACCAGGCTCGACGTTGATTAACTTCGGTGATCATAGTACTGTGGGCGTAAACCTTTGAATGTCTACTGATTTAGCTCCTTTATAAGAACATGGGTAACTGGTTATAGTTGAATGAGTTCTTTTCAAACATTACTAACAGTTTGTAGATCCCGAGACGTCATCTAACATTAAACAATTGTTGATATTAATAATAAAATGGGACTAGACTATTTTATAGCACAAGATATGGAGTCCGACTCTCTCTTATATTAATGACCTGCCTAAGAATATTCTCAGATCATTACTAAATATATATGCAGACGATACCACGGTTTATAGGTGCACTTCCAAAACCTTAGATGACCAGAGCCTGAAAACTGGTCTCTCCTCTAGCCTAGCACCCAATGGGGGTAGGGAGTTGGTTTGTATCATTCAATATTTCCAAAACCAAGTTATTTTTTCATAATCAACGAGTTGACAATCAAATTTTCTCTAAACGGCTGTGCCCTCAATGAGGCTCCTTACCTTAAGTAGAACGATCTATCGCTAAAGGAGCAAGAAATTTGACCGGTTCCTTGTACCACACCAGCAAGTACCTAACGCTTATGATGCTCCATTACGGGCATATCACGTTCAAACAACGGTTCACGTACGATCAACAAGGTAAAGCAACGTCGAGTCTGGTAGGGTGGGTGAGCGTCTGGGAATACTAGGTGTTGTATGCTTGGATGCGCGGGTGGTACAAACACCGATGTAAGAGGTATTTCTTTTGCACCCACTCTCTCTGTCTCTCTCGATAAATATATATATATATATATATATATATATATATATATATATATATATCGATCTGTTACCCTCTCTTTAGCGATATATATATATATGATCTGTTACCCCTCTCTTTAACACTAACATTCGTCCCACACTCTCATACTTACTCTCTCTCTAAATTCTATTTTATTTCCGGAGTTGTTTTTCTGTTTTCTTTTTGAATTTGTAGGTCTGATGAATTAGATCCTATTTACGATTCCAATGGAATAAATTATGACCATGGAATATTAATGTTTAAGCCTTTTTTATATATATATATATATATATATATATATATATATATATATATTAAAAAATTAACATAATTTTATAATATGTTATGTTATAATTTTTTAATAAATAATATTTGCTCTACTCTGTATTGAGCACTCTTTTTAAAATAGTATTTTTTGGTTATTGGAATTTATTCTGTCTACACCAATCCTATACTTGTATATATATATATATATATATATATATATATATATATATATATATGTGTGTGTGTGTGTGTGTGTGTGTGTGTGTGTGTGTGTGTTCATTTGTTGTTATATGTGTATGTGTGTATATATATATGAGTATGTGTATATATATGTCTTTATGTTAATATATTTCCACACACTTATCAATGGCTGATGGCTTCCAACAGCCTGAAAATAAATTTTCTAGGTCAAACGCCTCGACTTCCTGTTAACTGTTATTCCATCTTTCTTTTTAAAAAAGAAAAAAAAAACTTTTTCTCTGAATAAATTTAAAGTTATACCATTTATATCTTCGGTCAGATGAGAATCACTGGTCGAAATAAATCATGATTTATCACCGCATTTTCGTAATGTGTTAAGCTTTTCCTTTATATATATATATATATATATATATATATATATATATATATATATATGTTTCATTAAAAGAGGACTGACAAGGTGCTGCGAAAAAGCATTTTTATCAAATTTTCTATTCGTAAAACATATATAAATATCTAGAAACATATATATAAATCTACATATTCAGTTAAAAATAAAAAGCATCCTTGATAATGGCTAACAGAATAGATGAAAGCGCTCGGACAAATAATACATCTGAACAATTTTTAAACACTTCACGTCCCAAAAAAGACAAACCCTCATACCAACACCAAAAGTGAATAAAAAAAACTTAATCACAGTACCTTGTCAGTCGTCTTTTAATACACACACACACACACACACACATATATATATATATATATATATATATATATATATATATATATATATACAATCGAATCCATTACATTCACTTACGTGTTATTACCCTTGGGAAAGGTATTAATCCTCTTCTCCCTCCAGCTATGGGTAAAATAGCAGGACAGACTGGGTTCTATAGCCTTGGGTGGCAGCTGGTCTAGGAGAAGAACAACTCTGAATTCAAAACTGCGGAGGGTCGTTTGGTGACCTCGTGCCACATAGTTCACCAGGTCTCTGTATTCGGCCCTTCAAAAAGTGTGGATGGTCCTGCACGAAACCTTCACCACTAGAATCAAATCTCATGTGCTGGTGTCTGGCTGACGGTTCCTTGGGCTTAGCAGCTTGACCCTCATACCTCAAATACGACGGTAGAGTCCACCTTATATATACATATATATATATATATATATATATATGTTTATGTGTGTGTGTGTGTGTGTGTGTGTGTGAGTGTGTGTTTTGTGTGAGTGTGTCTGTGTGTGTGTATGTGTTTCTGACAGGACTCTCCCAAGTAGTAATGAGATTTATCATTTCAGAAAACACACACACCCACACATATATATATATATATGTGTGTGTGTGAGTGTGTGTATGTGTGCGTGTATGTGTGCGTGTGTGTTTCTGACATAATTCTCCAAAACAAAACATATCAATTTCTAACAATTCCTGTCATTTTTTACAGCACGGCTTCACTATTTGGATGCATATCATGTTTACACTCAAATTATAATCATGTATGTACGTCGAAAGTACTTTATTTCCCCTTGTTTTCTTTTATTTTCGCGGAATTTGAAAAACCTGTGCAGTGTTTAGTCTCGCATACGTGATAAATATTTGAAAGAAATGCTTGAATTCTTCACAGATGAAATTCCCAAACTAATAGCATCGGAACGATGGCGAAAAAATCCGGAAGTCTTAATGTAAAAATATTAGGTTGAGTCATAATTTATTTCTGTTTTATTTTCTCTTCCCTGATATCAGTTCTGAGGACAAATATACCAACTTGCCTACTAACCATATATGGGAGTTCAGAACAAATTTGGAGTACACATGGACATCCTGACGCAACTGAACGCTGGGAGACCAAATACGACCGAAATTGTATCCTGGACAATTGTGCATGGAAGATTAAATGGCAGGCAAAGGTACAGACAATGAAAACGCAACAGCAGAACTTGCTTTCACAGAGCTCCCATGGATGACGAGACATCTGTGGTTTTCAAACTTGGTGAACTGAAGTCTAGGATGGAACAGCTGGGAATCAAGCATGACGGCAGGTACACATGACCAGTCTTAAGCAATTACCATTTGATGAAACAGGTCAACACTGAATTCAAAAGCAGATGGACATAAAGTTGGCAACTCCAACCTGTAAGAACGTACAGTCTACAGAAACCACAATAGCCACATCTAGTGTGTTGAGGTTGTGGACTTATACTTTGTGGATATCTATTGGTTAAAGTGTCCATGCTTAGAATATTGCTGACACATATGTTCCGTTGATGGTTAAAATTGTTTTGTGTCAAACCCTCTGTCTTCCCAACTTGTCAATGGCGAAAGGAAAAAGATTATTCAGGCCTTCAGTTATGGTACCAACATTCATACACTGGCTTCTATCTTCAAAGTCTATTCAAGAACCGTCAAGAGAACGGTGAATAAGTTTTAAAAAAAAAGAGGGGACAGTAGAGAAGAAAACTAGATCAGGATGTCACAACAGGAAGAGTGATCATCATTTCAACTTAGAGCTAAGGAGATCAATTAGAAAAGATCCAACTCTGTTCATAAGATGCTTGGCTCGAGAGAGAGGAGTTTCAGCTGACAGTACAAAGAGCAGTGAAAAAAAATTTGAAAAATGAAATCGTACGTGAAACCTGTGAGGCACCTTGTGACTCCTTGGATGGCAACTGGTCTAAGAGAAGGACATCCTTGAATTCAAAACCTGCGGAGTGTCGTTTGGGGACTTTGTGGCACGGAGTGAACAAGATCTCTGTATTCGGCCCTTCAAAAAGTGTGATTGGTTCTGCACAAATCCTTCATCACTATAATCAAAAGATATGTGTTGGTGTCTGGGCTGTCGGGTCCTAAGAACTGAGCTGCTTGACCCTCATACGCTTGAATACCACAGGAGAGTGTTCCATATATATATATATATATATATATATATATATATAGCCTTAAACAAAACGGACGTCATACCTAAAGTACGTTTCGGCCAAGACTTTTTCAAAGGTATTCGTTGGCAATATAAATGAATATATATATATATATATATATATATATATATATATATATATATATATATATATATATATATATATATATATTTTCTGAATATAAATTGTTTTTGAACTATTTTAATGTCTATTTATAATCCTAAATCTTTTTTCTTTTCTTTTTTCAGGTTATGGCCATGTTGCTCCGAAGACAGTTCACGGCCGAATAGTGACCATTATTTACGCAGTGCTGGGGATCCCGCTAACCTTGCTTTGCTTAACCAACATCGGCAACTTGATGGCTGACGGGTTCCGTATCCTCTACGGCAAGGTTTGCTGCGGGTTGTGCTGCCTGTTGTTCAAACCGCGGAGGTACGGTCGTAGAAGGTCTCCATAAATATTTTCTAGTGATAGAAGTGTCCCCCATTTCCGGCGTCTGTTTCACCATGTTCATTGTCCTTGCCATTGGCACCTGAGCAGCATGTCTAAGACGTTTTCTTTTTTTTATCTTTGAGTTAATTTTCCATTTTAATCAAACAATCAATCAAACAGCTTTAATTTATAGAGTAATGTATTTTGTACAAGTCCCAAGAGCCGCTCAAGTTAGAGAGCTACTGAATAGGGTTATGTGTGTAGATAATGGTTAAACCTAAACTTGGGAAACACTAGTATAGACATATTTGAACGCGGTTCTACTACGTTCGATTTCACAGAAATATCTCTGCGAAAGCTATGAGTCAATAACCCCTCCACCCTCACCCAAAACTGTAGGTTAAATAGCAGTCTAGACTTGTGTGGTAGTCAGGCTAAGAGAATGACTACACTGATTTCCAAATCTATGAAGAAGGCAAATAGAAACCACTCCATTATATTTCCAAAGTCATGTTAACAGATTTTAAAGAAAAGTAGTTGTGGAGAGGCATGATCGCCTACGTCCTAATGGAACATACTGTTTAAAAAATGTATTAATAATTCTTTGTAGATGTCTTACTACACGCATTATCTCCCCCTCTCTCTCTCTATCTATCTATCTGTCTATCACAGTCTGTTCATATCTATCTATCTATCTATCTATCTCAATCTGTTCATATCTATCTATCTATCTATCTATCTATCTATCTATCTATCTCAATCTGTTCATATCTATCTATCTATCTATCTATCTATCTATCTATCTATCTATCTATCTATCTATCTCAATCTGTTCATATCTATCTATCTATCTATCTATCTATCTATCTATCTATCTCAATCTGTTCATATCTATCGATATCTGTTCTTGTCTATCAAAATCTGTTCAGATCTACCACAGTCTGTTTCTATCTCAATCTATTCGTATCTATCTCAGTTTGATTCACATCTTTCTATGTATATCAGTTTGTTCATTATCTAAGTCTGTTCATATCTATCTATCTATCTATCTATCTATCTATCTCTATCTATCTATCTATCTATCTATCTCAGTCTGATTCACATCTATCTCTCTGTGTATATCAGTCTGTTCATTATCTAAATCTATTCTTATTTATCTATCTATCTATTTAGGTCTGTTCGTATCTATCTATCTATCAAAATCTGCTCAGATCTATCACTGTCTGTTTCTATCCGTCTCTCTGTCTCAATCTATTCATATCTATCTATTTATCGATCTATTTATCTATCTCAGACTGATTCACATTTATGTGTCTCTCTGTTTGCCTATCTATCCACCTCTCTATGTATATCAGTCTGTTCATATTTATCTAAGTCTGTTCATATCTATCTATCTATCTATCTATCTATCTATCTATCTATCTATCTATTTCAGTCTGTTAATATCTATCTATCTATTTCAGTTTATTAATATCTATCTATCTATCTATCTATCTATCTATCTATCTATCTATCTATCTATCTATCTGTCTATCGATCGATCGATCGATCTATATATCTATTGGTTTTTGTGCTTTCTTATCAATTTACTTATTTCATTACATTCATATTTATGTTTTGGTCTGACAGCCTATATAGAAAATTTGTCTTTCTCACACTACCTTCCTTTCTCCCTGCTTTCTGATTCTTTTTACAGACACACACACACACACACACATATATATATATATATATATATATATATATATATATCTATATATATATATATATAATGTTTTTGTGATGCGTTTCATACGTTAGGACTGTCCGATAAAGTTATAAAGGATGAAACGCGTCACAAAATCTGTTTCCCAATTTTTCATACTATTTTCCTAAATATTGTTTGTTGATATATAAATTATATAAAATTACACATCGTTACACACACACACACACATACACACGCAGACACACACACACACATATATATATATATATATATATATATATATATATATATATATATATATATATTATTTTTTTTAAATATGATTCCTTCACTACATAAGAGTTGGCATGTTTCAAAAACAGGAGCCAAAAACTTCAATATAATTATTAAAATTAAATTGAATTAAAGTATCAAGCTCTGTTTCATCCTCAAGCAAAATTTTTGGAATTTTTTTTCTAAAAATTTCGCTTGAGGATGAAACAGATGAGGATGAACCCGTAACATACACGGAGAAAAATGCGTCCACTGGTGCACAGCAAATAACCAGATAATAGCCAAAACCTTGTTCTACGATCTGATAGAATAACACTGTTATATGTTTAAAGCAAATACACTTCTAATGATGTATTAAAGAAGTGATTCAAATTATTTTACTTTAGAAATGCGTTGTAAATTATTTTACTATAGAAATGCATTGAAAATGTGAAAGGACGAGATAGTTGGTAATGGAGAGAAGACAAGAAGACGGTATAGCGCCATTATCTATAATATCATATATTATATAATCATAATTTTCCCCATCTTTATCAGCATCCTGATTGCCATCATCATCATGAGCAAACTGGCCGTTTTTGTTTAAAAGAAATGCTTTTTCTCTTTTTCTGCACTTTTGAAATGTCTTCACTAATACGCGCACAGGCTTTTCTGTTTTGATTACAGCGCAAACGTAATGTATTAGCTTATTTCACTTTACGAAATTCCTGTCAACCTGCGCCACTTTTAACCAGTTTCCCACCAGCCCTCACCCTACAGCAGCAATTTCTCAACCTTTTTACCCTTGCGCAACCCTTAAAATAAATTACATCTCTCAAGGAACCCCCTGCACAAAAACAAAATTATATACCATATTTTTCTCATTTTATTTTCGTTGTACTTCACGTGGTAAATATCATAGTATATATTTTTTGAATAACTGGTTTAAGGAAAAATTAATATTTCTTTGTCAAATTTTTCGGTAATGTTAAATAAAATTCATACTCTTCGTTTAATTAATTCTTCATCAGGGAGTTTTTATTCACAAACAAAAACAAGTCTAAACTCAAACGTAAAAGATAAACATAAGTAACCAATATCATATACCTATAATATAAATGTAAACAGAACAAAAACAGATAATTGCTGCATCAGTTTTTTTTTTTTATTCTTTTTAAAAAGGCATAAGGTAAATCGAAGCAAAATGTCCTGTTAACCAATAAATGGGCTAAGAAGAAAATGTTACTTTCGCAGCCATTTGATAAAATGAAACGCTTCTTCTCTGATGTGAAGCCTGTGCCTGTCTTTTGCTACATAAATACTTAATTCGAGTTCGAACTTTAGATAAACACACATGGAATTCATTCTTAATTGAGAAGAGACAATTTCTGTCTTTGCTCTTGATTACTTGTGAAATAAGAAAAGGCTTTCTCACATATGCATGACGTTGAAAACTGCAACAATATTATATAGGATGATGTCGATAATAACCAAGATTATGTGTGTTTAGTAATATTACGTATATGAAATAAAGTCAAAAGTGCATTAGCATAGACTTTTATCTCACCTGTTCTCGAGATACCTTAGGGTTCCGGAGAACCTCAGGTGAGAAACGCTGCTATAGATTATTATCGTGTATACCGACTTTACGTATAGTGTGACCACTGATTATATATATATATATATATATATATATATATATATATATATGTGTGTGTGTGTGTGTGTGTGTGTGTGTGCAATTTTAACCTCTCCGAAAAAAAACATATCTGCGTTTGTATGTTATAGTCATGGTGAAATCGGTCACCGAAAATTTAAACTCTTCCCCTAAAAAAAAAAAAATTACCCATACGACACTTTATTTTTGGCGTCAAAAATTGAACATAGGGACTCACACTATACACGGTATGTGCCCCCGCCCCCTGCCAGTGTAACATACGGTTTTGGTTTCGGAATTGTCCTCCTATACTGGCTCTACCGGTTACGGCTAGAGGCCAAGTCTACCCACTATTTTTTAAAATCTTGCCGTGCGGTGGGGTCGGAGAATACATGTATTCCTACCTTTCCTACAATAGTTCGAATAATGTAAATTGTGAAAATTCATACTGTTCATTTATAATACTTCATCAGGGAGTTTTCATTCACCCACAAAAAATTCTAAACTCAAATATAAAAAACAAAACATAAGTAACCAATATCATATACCTATAATATAAATGTAAACAGAAAACAGTAATATTAAGTGTATGAAATTAAATAAAAAGTCAAAAGTGCATTAGCTTATCTCACCAGTTCTTGGGGGACCCTTGGAGATCTTTTACAGAACCATAGGGTTCCGAGGAAACACGGTTGAGAAACTCTGCCCTACACATTCGCAAATTCTAATATGCTTATATCCGTTTTAAAATTTATCAACAATCTTTTATTCCAGTCGAGTTGGTTGTTGTTTTTGTAATAGAGGATTTAAAGATCTTATCAGGTTTATTGGTTGTTTTTTGTTAAGCGGCATAGCGACCTATAGGTTAATTAATGTCGAACTCTAAATATTTTGTACGCAATTTTAGGCCTTCAACTACAGATATTATTTTGTACATAATTTTATACTGTCAGATATTATTTTGTACATAATTTTATACTGTCAGGACAAACGTGTTTTTTTTAAGATATATAGTTTGTAGATGCTAAAATGTTATTTCTTTATGTATTACTGGTGATTTTACTATAAAAATGTATTTTGATACTTTTTTAATGTTGTGAGTGCTTACTGGGTGAGAGTAGACTGGGCATGACGATAAACTGCATCTGGCAGCGATGCCACTGATCGGGAGATTGGAGTATTTGAGGAGCTTGGAACCACTTCTTAATTGCTGCTGTTCCCAGGTCCTCCCTGACCCGGGGTAGTAGCACGTGTTGGGGCTTCAACTATAGACAAATAGTGAACCTACAAACAAAAACAAAATACTATGAAAGTATCAAAATACATTTTTATAGTAAAAATACCATCAATATATTTTATATAAAAAAAAATGACCAACAACACATATTTATAGTAAAATGATATATATGTACTGATGGTCATTTTATATATGTTAGAAAAGGGATGGAAATGTTATGGGCTACCTATTGAGGTCGCTGAGGTCAGGTGCCGTGGATTCCTAGGACGGTCAATCGTTTCCTTCCTTTTGAAGGTAGACATCACTGGCCGGAACCTAAACCGTGCTTCACATCGTCTCCAGACCGCAACAGTAATGGAAATTAAATAAAACCATGCTTCCAACACAATGCTACTTCCTATGTGGAACACATCTGTTTACCTCTCATTCCATGTCATTAACATCGGTCACTACGAGCACGTTGTGTATTTTAACGTTAAACATTTCAGCTGCAGTTGTAAAAAGAAATCGCAAGAGACTGACACGCATGCAAAAACAATACCCCGCCTGGTGGCAAAAGTTATTGGTGGCGCCAGGGGTGGCAGTACCGCCTTAGCCACTAAAACTGTGTTACCTTCCCTGGTTAACGGCTTTCTAGGGCAGGTTATCGCACCTACGTTCCCGCATTGTATGCAGAGAATATAATAAAATGACCAGCAATACATTTTAATGTTAGAATTACCAACTACACATTTTATAACAAAATAACGAACAATACATTTTATCTGTAGTTGAAGCCATAAAATTGTGTTCAAGATATTTAGATTTCAGCATTAAATAACCCATAGAGATGTTGATATACCACTAAACAAAATCGAACCAACCAAACCTGAGTGCGAGTGAATATGAGAAAAAGAATTAATGAGAGAGAAGATAACGATTGACATTGCATTTAAATTTGTGAAGGTCAGTCAGAGTTAACCAGAAAAGAGATCTAAAAGCGAAAACTGCGAGAGAAGAAACTGTTAGCAAAGAACTTCCGGTTGCATCTAGCCATTTCAATAGCAAAATGATGAAACCTTGCGCCAATCAAGTAGTACGTCTAAATTCCTAATGTCTTGATATTAAAGAGAAAAGCTCATCAGTACAATGACCATGAAAGTATTTATAGAAAAGACACAAGAAATCTACGTTATAGTGATGGAAAGTAACTGAAGCCGAGATCGATAACATTGTAGAACTTCTTTATATCTTATCAAGAATCTCTAAATACATAGCGGAAGTACCAGACCGGATATGGCAGCAATATTCACCGCCCGAAGAAATGGTAGACGCCATTGTTCGGTGGGATTCATATGAAATTTGCTCAGCAAATCTTCACTACCGTTTTTTATTACTATTTTCCTGTGTATTATTTTCTCTTCTCAACCAATGTTAACATCCACCCGTTGATGACTACCTATCTATTTATCTTATATTAGTTCTGCTCTGTGTTCATTATTATGGCGTTTGGAACTCTGTAGTATCGTATACAAATTAGATAGACAAGTATAAATAGAGAACAACTAAGGAACATAGGATGGCTATGCCTAGCAAACCCGGTTCCTATTCAGGACACGGAGAACTTTACTACGACTACTACTACGCAGAGAGATAAGCAGAATATAACAAACTCAAGGAAAGATGACGCATTTTTTCGGAGCTCCAAAAGATTAATGGATTTTAAGTTTAACTGAAAAACGTAAATATTGCTTAAAAGTAATATAATAATTCGGAATCATTTCATTTATTACATATATTGTGATTATTATATTTATTTGAACTTATATATATATATATATATATATATAT